GGGGTCAAAAACAAACTTATAGTTTCGCAACTAAAGCAGCTGTCAGAGCCAAATATTAACGTGCCAAGTGCCGGCAACTTAACTCCCGGTGCATATCTTTAATTTCAGCGAGAATAAAAGGGAACTAGCATGGAATTCGGGATGATTGAGTTTCGTTGAATTTGAAAGTTTTTTGGAGAATAAATTTCGCTTAATAAATTGACCTCGGATCGCGATAATAGTGCGTTAATTAAACTCGACAAAGCGAAAACGACGTTGTTTAGAATACAAGTCGAAACGCAAAGTTAAACGTTTCTGTTGAAACAGGGTTTCCCGTTCGTGGAAAATCTCCTTTTGTGCCCGAAAATCAATTATTCCATCGACGGCTATCATCGCACGGGCCTTTGTTTTAATTGAAACTCCCGAACGACGAGTCCGGCGATCCCCTTCGATGCCGGTTAATTGGGAAAAATGCATTTTCCAGCGCGGAATCTCCGACAGGAATTTAACCGGTAAACAGAAAGCAAATGATTTCGCGTTTTTTTTTTTCATCGACGTTCGTTAAAAAATTCTACCTTTTTCAAAAGGCACTTACCGGCTTAATGTCCGGTTTTCTAAACTCGTTAATTATATCTCGTTATTACAGAGCAATTTTTTTTATTTATACTCCGTTCGCCATTAAGAGATAGTAATAGAATATCATTTTGTATGCAACATACAGCACTAGTGAATTAATTTAATAAATTCCAAAATTTCAAAGCTTTTAGTTTTATGTAGGATATAATAATAAAATTACAAATTACTTACAATAAAATTTAACATCACTTTGATTGACTATACTATAGGTACCTATTACAGTTAATTATCAAATCATTAATTCGATAGTGCCTACTTTTTATTTATATGTTAGATTTACTGCTTCAAGAACGTTAAATTACTATCTCCTGATGGCGAACGGAGTATAAACTCGTACGTACTTAAATCGGTACTGATGGCTATATTTGCACAAAATTGCTAAGAGAAAATTGAATATCATCGCTTTTACTACAGCGCGATAAATCTTCACCTTACTTTGTATTTATTAGATAGTTAAGGAAACGTTAACGTTAACAGTGCGAACGTAAACTTTACGACCCCCGATCGCCTACCCCTGAATGTAAAAAAAGAAATGCGTGCGTAGCGCTGCTGTCTAATTTATTTCGTTTAATGGTCGCCTCGACCTAGTTCATCCTCGAAACAAATATTAATTAGAAGAAAAAGCATCATGGATAATGGTAATTAGCTTAATAAATCTCGTCTTTTGCCGTTTAGGAGCGCGGTCTAGTTGATCATAAACGGTTTTTAGTTCTTCATTTTTAGTGTGTTTCGTGGTTTTTGTTGCGGTTATTAGAGAATGTTAAACACGAGGTGACTTTTTTATTAAAACGCCAGCGATGAGATTTTTATGGGTATCCCATAATTGCATCGGTATAGATTAAGTTTTGTATTGTATGTACAATAAAATATCGGAATTATCTGTTTATAATTCTCCGAATTGGTATTAATCGTCGCTAGGAAAATCGAATCGTCCAATTTTATATGAATTCATATTTTTGGATAATTGCTGTAAATTACGTAGTTTGTCGGGTAAACCGGCGTTTTAGTTGCTTTATTAAATCCAATTTAATGGCGTAGGATTATAATTGTATTCGACTTATTAATGGATCATTAGCGGTTACCTTCATTTTCCGAATAATTACGAGGTGAATCCATTAAGCCCAACTACACGCCCGATTTAATTTTACCCAAAGAATGACTCCAAAAATAAATGCATTAAAAAATTATCGCGGAAACAAAAGGGAGACGAATTGCCTGTTAAATCCTAAACAATTACTTCATTAAAAGGTAAAAAAATCCCGCGTTGGATTCCTCCCCAAACAACATAATAAATAAAGGCCTCTAAAATACCTTAACGGCGCCCAGCGAGGTTCATCTTCGGGCGGATTCGCATTATCCCCTTATATTCGGACTCCAATCATTAAGGATTCGGGACACGTTAGTCGCCAAATCGTTCGTGAAATTAGGTTTTTATGGAGGCGGGTCAGGAAGCGGGGAATTTTTTATTTCCATCGCTCCCGAAAGCGCCCCTTGCTCGCCCCCCGGGCGTCCTTTTCTCGCCCCGTTCTAGCCGCATTAAGATAGAGGAGTTGTCATCAATATCCAAAGTGGAAACGCAGCTTTTTTTTGGGGAAATTGCCACGATTTCCTTCGACGGGGATTGTACGTACGTCATTCCCAATTCACGGGAGCCATTCCCGGTATTGTTTATTAAATTCGGCGGTGTTGCGAGTGGAAATGGAAGAGCCGGCGCGAAGGAAAAGTGGGACAAGGTGACGGGAAAAGTGAAACGGGTAATGATATTTTCGGCCGGGCATTTCGTGAACGATGACTCAATAAAAAATTCAATTTAATTTTTTCGAATCGCCCGTCGTCCTCACAAAGGGCCTTATCTCGTTGGCAGTCGTACCCTTTCACAAAACGTTTCTTATTTACGCAGAAGGGGTAATTTCTGGACGGGCGGAAACGCGAAAGTTATGTGAAATGCGTTTGATTCAATAAAATTTCCAATAAGTGAATCCTTTTAGGATAAAGAAATGGGAGTTATATTCGTGAATTTAAAAAAATAAAATTTATGAACAATTTCACCGCATAAATCGAACATGTGCGAAATCTAAATATAGAATTAATTTGTATCTTCTGTTTGTCTTAAATTCAACAAATTGTGTTAATGGAAGCGCGATCGAAATAAATTAACTATTAGCTTTTAATTACCAGTGTATTTACATTAAAACGCGCTATAATTAAAACAAAAACATTCGGTAGGTATTACAATTATTTCGGTCTATAGATAATTTGAATTTCGCGATAAGAACGTATATTATCCCCGCCATTTTCCTCTGTTATCTGTGTGCTTAGTGTTAGTAAGGTGACGTTTTAGTTCAACAGAATTACATCTACTTCGCAAAATTATAGCCTACTTCAAACAGCTTCCATTAAATCTTAAATTCGCGAAGTTGTAACTAATTCTCTTTGTGCTGGTAATTTTTACGCGGTGTAAATTCGCCTACGTGTAAGTAAAATAAGGCAGATGATTCGCATAGAAGACGGGAATTTGCCCGAATCTGCCGTTTGCGGTAAGTTCCCAAAAGGACCTGACGTCCATTAGGCCCAGGTATTATCCGAAGGATTCCACGGTTGTTTAGCATGGAATGTCAAAGAACGGATTACCCGCCGCGTGTCTCCCTCGTTAATCAATTCGATAATTGAACGATGATTGATTACGATGGGTATTTAAACACCGCCTAATCGCCTACACGAGTAGGCACATTTTCCCCAAAACTACGTAATGTTTACTTTGCTCAAGCATGTTTACACTGTTAAAATTCATTCGATTTTCCGAGCTCTATCCCGCTAGTTTATTACGATGGGTTTTCGCTGGGAGCTTGTTAAAAATTCAACGCACGACCTCGGCTCGAAGATGTCGAACGAGACAGTGCGAAAATTGAGAAAAGCTCGACTTGCAGCACTCGGAACTATCCGCCCGAAAAACGGCTCTATTAATTACCTTCTAATTGGATTATGAAGTTGCCTTATATAATTTGTTTGGAATAGCATTATGCCTATACATTTTGTCGAGCCCTTTGATAACAATTTAGTTGGCTGTAACACACCGGGTGGGTGTAAATAATTAGATTATTTAAGTAAATATGTGTAAACGCCGGTTCTATTAATACCCGCTGTGTTTTATTAGCATTAATGTTAATCGAACATTGTTCGATAAAAGTACTTTTCTCGGCTCTTCGCGTTCGCCCATCGGTTATTTATCGAGCCACATGCTCGACTAAAAATACATTTCGATATACGATTTTTCTAAATATGTAATCCGAAAGGCATTCTTCCTCGAAGCGCGGACGTCTATAATGAAATTGATGCCTTACTGACGTTGGTATTTCTGTGTGGTTCCTAATCCCCGGCGGCATTGCATGCGGATCTATCGCATCGAAAAGGCCACAAAAGTAATATGTACTACATCGACGAAAAAACCCCGATGCTCGTCGGGAAAAATCGAAGTTTTTTGCGCCATCATTGATCGATGTGAAACTCCCTTTTTGCGCGAAAAATGTCCAATCAAATTAATGAAAAATCGCAATCCGCATAAACCGAATTTAACCGGGCTTTCGAAATCACGGTGCGGACTGGTGGAGACTTTCGAGTTCAACTAAACTGCAAAAGGGAATAAAAGGAATGATATATCCGCAGGGCGTCGGGAAGATTTAAAATCAATTTTGTTTATTGTCCTGCAGCAGTATTTCCGTCAATTTTATGTGATTTTCTCCGAGAGTGGCGTGGACAATAAACGATTGCTATCGCCCTATCAATTATACTTATAATGGATTTCGGTTCCCGGTAAACGTAATGTATATTATGCTTGCTGGTTTTGCTATACTTACTATCATAAACACCGCACGAATGTAACCAAAAAACGTGAAAAACGGTGTTGATATTAGATATTACTGATTTATCATTACTACAAACATAACATTCAATAAACCGCTAATTTTACGGCATGTTTTCTGTGCAACCGAACTCGCCTAATGTACATAAATGAGGCTGAAATAACACATTTTAATTTAACATTTTGACGGAAAAGTACATTTTGCCGGACGTATTTACAGATGGGAAAACGCCCACTTCAGTACTCATTAGAGTTAATGATTTCTGAACGATTGCTGTAATACGAACGGTGAAGCGTTGTTAAATACACAAGGTAGTTTCTATTTATACCGCCCTCACTTAAAATAAACCCCTTCATTGTGCTGCCCACTCCAATATAAGTTCGCAAAAGATGCGGCGGTAAGTGCCTATGCTCGAAGCTAAGAATGAGCAAGCGAATTTCAATTGAGATAAAAATTCAGAATCGATAACGTAATTAGATATACTAGTAACTTGGAATGTAAATAAATTGTAAATGCTGGAATAAGATGGATATGGGTAGTAATTCTAGTCTGTATAATGAACAAGTAAGTTAGAAAGAGTAATTACTAGTTTTAAATGGGTGCACTATTCAAACAAATTTAATGTACACTTTTGGCTCGCATTCGTATTCATTTTGATCAATAATTAATGATGAACGATTTATTGACAATATAAACAATGTAGGGGACCATAAAAGAGCGTTACTCGATTTTGTGAAAACGAAAATTCGATTTTAATTTGGGCTATTAGAATGGGAATCTATTACAGTGGACTCGAATAGATGGTTGGTAATTACAAGTTTTGTATTCTAGTATATTCACGGTGAATAATTACAAAGACTTTGTTCAATTAATTTTAACAGTCATTGAAGATTTCGTAATAAAAAAAGTCTTTTAGTTACTTCATAGCCGGTAAAATGTAGATAAAAATTGCTCTTTAATTAATTAATAAAAAGGTAAATAAAATTTGAAGTACTAACCTTTCGTCTTCCGAACCAACCCTTATGAGACCGTCCGAGCAAGTACTTTCCGCAATCGCAATTACAATAAAACAACCAAAGTAAAAATGAAAAAAACTAGCACAAACTTTTACCGGCACACCGACAGGATCGTCACTGGTTTATCATATTTTCCGTGCGGGGAAATCGCGTCAAAAGTGGCCGGCGGCCGTCGCCTCGACACCGACGGGGGCGTTTCGACATTTTTTCCGTGCCATCGTCGGCTTTATCGGTGGCAGCATGGAGGACGCGTCCGGTCCCGGTGCACACGTTCACGACGGAAAACGGCGCGCCGTACTGACAATCGCGGATACGTCGACGTCGCGGCGCCGCCGACGACCCGATCGCTAGGGGTGGGACGCCGGCCAGGGCCGGTTTCTCGGGTAAACGGATCTCGATTTATCCGGTGCTCTTTGGCGGTGGTACTTATTTACTGGGGGATGTGGAGTCGATAGGAATCGAATTTGAATTTTAAATGAGTACTCCGTGTGTGATGGGATGAGAATGATATTAGGGGTTCTACAGGGGTTTTTAACCCCTGAGTGAGTGTAGGGGATTTAATGTACCCAGTACATGCGAATGTAGGGAGTTTCTTTGGAGATTCTTTTAGAGAATAATTGAATTTTTTATACGATTATTTAATGATTTAAATAAAATCAGAACAACGGGTTATGGATTGACCATGATAAAAAAATGATGAAAAACACATAAAAAACACAATTTGTACAAAAAAGCCACAAAAGTAATGGAAAAAAGTTTTAATAATCCTCCAAATTGCTCTAATATTCCCTAAACTCCCATAAAAAATACCCCAGCAAAGAAAGAGAAAACTAATACCAAATAAAATAAGCACCCAAGTACTATAAATTTTTATCTCAAAAAAAATATCCTCGTGTTAGTGACTAAATAAAGTACCTACTGGAAAATGTAGTAGAAAATAGATTGAAAATTTTGTACCATTCCTGTGCTGAGGAGACAATTTTGTGCCCGACTATATTCATTTTAGAGCTAATATGAAATGGCCGATCGAAATTCCTCGCATGCACTCGAAAGTTTTTCAACAATTCGACGAAAAGAAAGCTGATATTTGGGTACATATAAAGCCATTATCGATCGAAATTCGACAATCTCATTTGAAGATGCGTCATGAATACAAACTATTGGCAAGTTCTTGAATTTCGCCGGCGAAAAAAATATATATGATCAGTTCTCGGGGTTAATTGAGTGACCTGCTGGATGCGAATAGAAATCCTTGCTTTTTATTGGATATTTATAGACTCTCGTATTTTCCTGAACGTTTGAGGAAACCGGCGAAGCTGAACGTTGTTTGCTGGAAATTCCCTAATTAAAATCTAACTTCTTTATTACTCGCTCGATATTTTTTTATTTGTATTATGAAGTGGGTTTGTTTACGAAAAAGGAGGAATGGAGCAAATTTTAAGCGATGTCTGCCTCTCTTGATTTCTATTCTTGCGAACATAATTTAGAAAACTTCAACGTCGTCCGATGGTTTATTTAGCAACTTGTAAACAATTTTTTGTTTTTACGACTAGAGCTGAATAGTTTGTTTTCGTTCGTTTCGAAAAATACAAATAGAAATTACAATTTTTAGTTAAACCAATATCGTACATGTCGGTTTTATTATCAAAGTTAAAAATCTATTTTTCACTAATGGATTGAAAATAGACGGTTTAAATACATCTATGCACGACAGGACGTTTAACTAAATGCGAGGATTTAAACTAAATCTATAACACGTAAATGAATGAATTTTATTATATTCGATAAATTTTGCTGGTGTAAAGGATTCGTTCGAGCTTATTTATAGTACGCGAAAATATACAAAAAGAATTTTATGTAGTAAAAACGCTTTTCGCAATTTACCGACTCTATTAAAAATTTCGTTACTTCAATTTGTTAGGCCATTGTTCCACCACAAACTTCTATACTAAACCTAACTTGCAAGTCTTAATTGATTAGGTACTAAATTAGTTTAAGCTAGGGCCAGAAAAAGTTCGCTCGTACGGCTCTCGTTAATTATGTCGTAGCTTTTATACCACGAATATGAGTAATGATACGGTTCGACCATCATCAATCATCCTTCAAATTTACCCTAAACGCGGTAAATTAGCAACACTTTGAGTGCGCTTAGAAAGTGTTAAACGCTTAGAAAATTCGCCTATTCACGACGCAACAAACGGCTTTTAGTGCGCTATACTTAATAGAGAAAAATGGCAATTTCAGCTGGACGGCCGCATGTACAAGACGCAATTCTCGTTCACGCCGGGCGGCGTCGGCAGGAACATGTGCGAGGCCATGCACAAGCTGGGCTGCTCCCCGGACTTCCTCACCGTCATCGGGGACGATTACTTCGGCGATCAGGTGAAATCGTCCATTCCCGCGGCCAGCAGGCGCCTGATGAGGACCAGCAACGGCAAGGGGACGGCCCAATGCAAGATAGTCTTCGACAAAGTCGGGAATTGCCAGATGCTCATGGGCGATATGGACGTGCACGGGGAGATTACACCGCAAATAGTGAGTTCAGATTGTACCCCAAGACAAAGTAGACCCGACAAAATAGCCCAAAATCACCCAAAGACAAAAGCTCTCAAAACAAAATAGCCCAAAGACAAAATTGTCAAGACAAAATAGCCCAAAGAAAAAATCATCTAAAGACAACATCGCCCAAGACAAAATAGCCCAAAGGCAAAATACTTTAGGAGGTATAAAACATATCACAGTACAAGAATTATTACACATCATGAATTTGTCGAACCAGAAAAAATATCTTAGAAACTCTGGAAATCTAATCAATAGTGCTTATTTTTAATTTTACCGGAACTGTTTTGTCTCAGGCGATTCTGTCTTTGGTCTATTTTGCCTTGGGTTATTTGTCTTTGGGCTGTTTTGTCTTAGAATATTTGTCATTGGGCTATTTTGACGGGTCACGAGTTAAGATATTTTTGGTTTTTTATATTCTTTTGGATGTTTTACTTATTTGTAGGTAGCTGATAATGAAGATGTCATTAAAAAATCGCCGTTGGTTGTATTAGAAGCGAATTTATCGCTCGATGCGATTAATTCAGTTCTACAAGTAGCCGATAAACATGGAATACCAGGTGAGTGATATTATAATTTTTAGTAATAAGGATCAGTGGAGGTGAAATCAAATTCTAAATACGTTTATTAAAGAATATATTTAAGCGATAATCTCTATACAAAAAAAACAGATACAAAATGGACGGATGCCAGTAAATATTACTAAGTAAAAAAGTATACAAACGAAACAAATCAGCAAACAATAGTTTATAACCGTTTTGTTAGAGATTCGAGAATATCAAAAACGAACAAAAATAACAATTTCATTAATTAAATAATATCTAAATTACCCAATTTTATACTCGCCAAAATTAACATAGAGAAACTGTTAATTTCTAAATGATCAATTATTATCCGAATTTCGTTTTTATTAACTTAGGCCTTCATATTTAAATACAGTCGCAGCCAAAGTGTGCACAGATTAATCCCTAATTCCCCTAAAAAATTTAATTTTCATATAATTCGATATGCTCTTCTTACTATAATAATTTTGTAGAATACTACGATTAAAAAAAATACTTAATCTAAATCATTGGAATGATTAAGGCACTTCCATGTTCCCAAATTAACCCATGCACTAACACAAAACAACAATATTTTTAAACAAGAGATTCAAAAATTCATATAAAAAAATGTAAAAATTAATATGAGAATATACCAAACAATCATTAGTATGCTGATATATACGAATCACTTTCTGACGTAGCCTCGCATTACAACCAAGTGACTTAACTATTACATTACACATTAATAATACACCAATTGCTGTCGAAACCGTGAATATTATCGTGCAAACTAAAACTAGTAAAAGGCCCGGCAACGAACGGTGCAATTACTGCATCTGCCATCCCAAGCGGTGCTGCGGATTGGGCTGCATCTGCATGATGAGATTCTTCGATTCCCTCCTGCGCTCGAAGCTGAACATGAACTCCTTGTGCATGCAGAACGCCGCGAATACGTGGAAAAAGAACGACAAACACGCCATGCCGTACGACCAGGAGAGATAGTTAAAATTAGGATACATTAACCAATCCCTGCGGACGTGCGACGCCCCGAATATGGCTATCGACAAGAACATCAACACGGCTGCAAATCGAACAATTAATTACCCACGAATATTTCCAACCGACTGTTTAAATACCTGTGCTAGCTACCAAAATGTACGATATAAACGAGAGTATGTATTCCCTCTGTAGGATGAAATGCAGAGGGTATCTGACCAATTGGAACGCCATTATGACTTGCGCGAAGAAGGTCAGCAGAAAGGCTATCGTTACGAAGGCTTGCACGGTCATCAACCACGGTGGCAGCAGCCACTCTCGTATCACGTAGTACTCTCGGCTGAATATGTGGTGGCAGCCGTCGAAGAGGTGGTCGAACTGGTAATAGGGATAACGGAATTGGTCGAAGCAATATTCCCACAAGCCCATGTGCTTGAATTGCGAAAAGGTGTCATCGAACGACTTCACCCAGTAAGGACTGAAAGTGTTTATTTGTAATAGGTGGTTTTGTTGGGTTAATGTATTTCTTACCTGCAAAATGCTATCATTAAAAACATCCCTCCGATGTAAGTCAACAGTGCTCCATTTACTAAATGATCTAAAACAATAATAGTACATTAGGTGTTGTTGGGAAAATTTAGGGTGCGGAATTACTTACTTGAGGCTTTGGGATAGTTGTTTTTTCCATCTTCTCTCGTACCCGTCATTTTGTTTCGGTACGTTTATCTATAATTAGAATTTATTGGTGTTAAAATTCATCTACCAAAGGCCAATTACTCACATCCACACCCTTTTTGTTTATTTTGACAAATTAATTTGACAATAATGACATTAGTGACAGTTAGTGCCAACTATTTCTTCTCTTTCGAATGAATTGTGTCCTCTAACTATTCGCAATACAGCTACTTGACAAACCCATGAATTTAAATTGAAGATAATTGTTTATAAATTGTTATTCTCAATTATATTCGTTATTTATAAAATATTTATTTTGTATTAAAATGTTCTCATATTTTCTCATATTTCTCATCAGTACTAAGGATAAACAGAATAAAATTTGTGTCCTATGAGGTATTAAAAAATGAAAACTTTATTAAAACATTTTTTATTTACAAAAATTGGCGTGTTTTTTATAAACAATTGTATAACATACCACAATATTTTAAAACAGTTAAAAATTATAAAAAAACGTACACATCTAAAGGAGATTCAAAATTTATCAAAGAAATATAAAAAATACATATAAAAGGTAGAAAATCATGTTAAACATCATAAAAAAAACATTAAAACATTGTATAAAATTAAGTTACAATAAATCAACAATTTTGGACGGATTCATTACAAAAAATTGTATATTTTGAACACCACTATTAAAGGCACTATATGTTATATTCACAATTTTATATGGAATGAATATTTAGCACTTTCGTGGAAATCAACTAAGTAAAAATAATCCTATTATACAGGGGAACCTACAGTCTTATGCATACGGAATAATTTTTCTGTTACATTTAACAACAACACAACAAGTATTTGCGCTTTGTGCACTAACAAGATTATTTATAAAGGGTGAATTATTAACAAAGCTACACCCCAACGCAAAATAAATTCAAAACAAGAGATTATATTTCTATTAAAAAGGGTGCAAAATTAGAATCGGATTTAATCCGATATAAAAGTTTCAAGTATATAAAAATGTTTCACCTCATACAGTGATTTATTAAATACTTCATACTATTATATTTAATTATTAATAATTGTTTTTGTGAGAAAAATAAGTCATGGTCAATTAAGTGTGTGGCATTCTACCTGCGATTTTTTTAAAATTATGAAATTAACTTGTTTTTTGTCTACACAGACACATTTGAGTACTTGGAATGGAAAACCTTATAGAAAATTAACAGTACAAAACTAACATAAAGAAAACCTAAGAGAGCTTAAACTATTGCTCAACTAATATTTGTTAGGTAATACTTTACACGTGAAATTAGCATTTTCATATTGCAACTTCGAAGTTCAGAATTCTCGTTAAAACATTTAAAAAAATCCCCAACTCGTCGAATGCTGGATCAAATCGAAGAACGCGAGCGATCCCTCTACACATAAGTATAAGTGTACGTTACCATCCTTTGTGCTCCTGCTCCTGCTCCATTTCTAACCTGCTTTGGCTTTCGATAAGCCTTTTTTTCTTCTTTTTTTGCACGTGTCCATCCACAAAAAACAACACCGAAGCGATGAAGCACGCTATGACGCCGATGCAGGCCAGCGCGTACGACCAGCCGAAGAAGTTGTTCTCGTGGCCGGGCATCCAGCCGTGCTTGTTAGCCAGAGAACCGAACACGATGACGGCTATCGCCCCGCTAACGGAACCCGCCAGCAGTATCCACGCATTCAGCACTATCAACGTGATGAACTGCTTCTGATCGGGCCCGCAGCACAGGAAGTAAATCAGCGTCAATATGGCTCCCAGCAGGACGGCTATGAAGCACAGCGTGAAGAAAAACTGCGTGGCTATCATGAAATCGGGCAGCAGGAATCCGCGGATTTGGTCGTAGCCGGAGGTGAACGGGTCGTATATCCACCTGCAGCCGACGAAGAACCTCTGGTTCTCCCTGCCGCGGTAGTAGGTGTCGTAGGGGTCGCGCAGCGATCTGAAGCAGTCCACCCACAGGCCCAATCGGTAGAGCTTGGCCCCCGTTATCCTGTAGTCGGAGACCAGCCAGCTGGGCGTCGCGAAGGCGACGAAAATCGTCACGAAGGCCACCACGAAGAATCCTATGGCGACGTGCCCGGCCATGGAGCGCTTCTTTACCTGCAAAGTCGATGCGATTCGTGGTTAATTGGAGGGTTTATGGGGGGTTTGTGGGAACGGGAAGCTTGTAGGATTCGAATTTTGAATGATATTGTCAGTTTAAGGTTGAAAAGGCAGCCAAAATATTTCTACTAATTATCCTAAAAAATGCTAATTTAAAATGATTAAATGCAAATATGATAGGCCCAAAAAACTTTACCTTATATCTTTAACCTAGTTATGTACCAATTAAAATTTTCAATAATACTTTAATTTTGCCCACTTTACCTCAGTGAACTCATAATGGAATTTTTTTGGATAGTTTTAATTGTTCACCTACTAGAACTATTAAAACTTATTGAACTACTACCTTTATTATCATATATTTTTCTAATTCTAATTCCTCTAATACAATAATCCATTAATATTCACTCATCTCAGAGGCAGACGAAATAATTTAAAGCTAAATTTCTCTTTCATTCAACTATGAATCACAATGAAATTTAATGAGTGTTTAATAAAGCCCATTAATTTTTCGGTTCACTTACGTTTGTATACGCATCCTCCTGGAATTCGCCCATTGCTATCGATAAACGGTGGTGGATTTCACTTAAATATTTATTTATCCGCAAGGAAAACCCTTAGCAGAGGACAACAAACACACCAAACAGGTTGATATCCGACGATTCTGTGTCATTCGACAGGCGCACGGTGTAGAATTCGTTGGCTCTCATTGACCACACCTTCGTAAACTTATAACGTATGTGCTTTTAGCTTCTCCATACAACAAACCAGTGTTTGGTGTTGCGCCGTGTTGCGTTGCGACTTGCGTCTCTACCTTTACCTTTTCTTTTAATTCCCCTCTTCCGCGCAGAGACGGACTCAAGTTTTTACCTGTGCCGTCTCACGTTCCGTGCTTTGTTTCACTATCGCTATCTACTCGTCGTTGTTAATTGACTGGCTTTTTTATGGCTTTATTTGAAGTGGAAAAATCGGAAAAAAATGTTTTAATACGTAACTCGACGAGATCTATCGGAAAATCGACGTTTAGAAACCCGGAAAAGTTTCCTTTCGGGCGGAAACCAGATTTTTTTGTGCCGGTTTCGGGTTTTTTGGGGTTTTCGGGATTTTTTTGGAAAGTACGACGACGATTCTTTTGAAAATTTCCTAAAATATTCTTTTTTATTAGTAATTATTTCCCTCAGACCGCATTTCCTTGTCTTTTTTTTAGCGAAGTTATAGGAAAAAGGATAGTAAATCAAAATTTCAAAGAAAAAATAAATAATATCATTCAACCTCAGAATCTACAAAAATATTTACCCATTTCTTCAATATAGTCTTCTACCATGGAAAATTCGTTGTGGAAAAACATAGCAAAAATACTTTTCAAGGGTTTTCAAAATCTAAATATCTCTTAAACCGCAAGATTTAGGCTGTTAGGCCTTCGGTGAAAGGGGATGTACAGCCCCCTGTACGATCGGAAACGAATAACTATATTAGATATTTTTTCTTCGGTTGCATTTTAACAATTCGAGGCACATAATATAATTTTTATATACTAAAAGTATCTTTGTTTTAACTTATACAATTTTCGTTGAAAAAAATAGTCCCTCCCTGAATAGGAACTGCCTTTAATTTGCAATACGTGAAGACAGAAAAACATCAACTGTGTCTCATATGAATGGGATATTAGCGTTTGAGAGTATTACAAAATAACAATTACACTCAAGGTTTAGGACTCACCCAAATACAATGGGAATCATACTTGAACTACATACCGCGTATATGAAAGAAAAAACGAGCGCTAATGTATAAAAATATTTTATTTTGTACAAAAAAGAAGTAACAAAGGTCCCCTGTTTTGCAAACAGATTCGGGATGTATCGGCTGCGAAAAATAAACGTTAAATTTTACATTAGAAATAATACTAAAAAAATGGACGGAGTAATTCATTTCCTTCGTAAACAAAAGTATTTATAAAAATGAGATTCACAACAAACGAGATTCGTACGCATTACAGCGACCTAAATAACATATTCGTTTTGTAATTTTAATAAAAATAAAAAAAATCTAATGACACTTTGAATAATTAGGTACATTATGCGATTCTTAACACTAAATAACGTACATTAAGAACTATTGCTGCAATGCAAGGCGAATTACAGTTTTTTTACTTAATTAAAATGAATAGCAAAAATGTTTAGCAGCCTTAAAATTTATATATGTTGACTAATTTCTTGCCCTACTTTGAAGCCTTATAAATACACAATAAAATGATTGTTTGTTCAGTGAGTTATTTGTCCAATTTTTGATCATAAGATATTGACAGCCTTAAGAGAATAACAATTGATTATGTTAAAAGTAAAATAAAAAATTACATGATCAAAGTAAATCTAACATAGCGTTATTATGAATCATTTAACAATTCATAACTAGGATGGGTTTAATTAATGTTTGTCAGAACAGAACAGCACGTATTAAATTATTGAAATTTAATAGTAATCCTTGTTTATCCTGAGGGGTCGAAATAAATTAAAATCGTTAATAATTCTATAAATAAAAATTACCAGGAAGTATTGACGTGTAGTGAATTTTTATTGGCTTATATAAAGTTTTATTAAAAATATTAAGGTTGGAATTTTTACACTTATCAATATTCCCTCGTAATAAACCATTAGGCTTGCAACAATAAATATTTCTATTCATAATAAAATCATCAAAGTAAGACTACCAGACGACTCAACAATAAAATATTTAAAATATGCACCAAGTGCCCTTGAACTTAATTGTAATCAGTGATATATTAACTATACTCGATATATTACATCAGAACAATTAAAACTCTTCATCAGATCATACGATATACATGTTTTGTGCTCGCTAATTTTAGGCCTTAAGTTTATCATATTAATTCAATGTCAAGTAACCACATAAGTCTGATAGAGGTATTTAAAAAATCAATCAACCACTATCATATGCAAATGTTTAAATTTAGTTAAAAATAACGGCAGTCCTAGGCGTATATGGGATACTTTGCATAAACATCTTACCATCTGTACGCTACAGAAATTAATTTAAATATCAGTATGATGAGGAGCGGTGGCTTTATGAGGGTCCTCCATAGTGTACTGGGCAGGAGGCATCCTCGGCGTGGTTTCCCCGAACCTTCTGTATCTAGCCCTTTTCGCCTCCACCAAGAACAAAGCCCCGGCGGGCATGAGCAACAGAGAGCCGATGCAACCGAAGGCAAACGACCAGCTCAAGTCGTTGTGCTGCCAGTAGGGCATCCAGTCTCTGTTGTCTCCGTTGGCGCCGAAAATGCACACCGATATGAAGCCGCAGAAACCTGCCAGGGCCAAAATCGAGCCGTTGCTCAACAGCAACAGGATGTACTTGTCGTGGTCTCGACTGCAGAAGCAGTACATCCACGTCAGAAAGGCGCCTACTAGCACTAGCGTTTGGCATAGGGTGAAGAAGAATTGCGTGGCGATGAAGAACCCGGGTAATAGAAAATCGAATATTATGTAGTATTCTTCTTCGAATACCCACCAACAACCCGTGAAACGGTAGTCATATTGGTGCCTAAAGTCCTCGAAGTTCCTGAAGCAAACCTCCCAAAGTCCTGTAATAATTATGTTAACAATTTGTAAAAGAAACCCACGAATTAGTCATTAATAGAAAGTGAATCAATACTTTTATATAGGCTACTTTTAGGGAAATTGGACTATTCTAACATGCAATTAAAAAGCTTCAATAAATTCCGTGTATATCGAATAATAATAAATATAAACAAAATTATAGCAGGTGTTCTAGTTTCTATTATTAGTCATTATTGAATGCAAAGACCACTCCTACTCCGAAGAAATGAAATTGTCTAAAACTCACCGATTCGTATAAACTTCGGATCTTCGACTTTGCCATCATTTACCAGCCAATAAGGGGTGCAAAAAGATATCACAACAAATATCGAAGCGATTGTTGTTAATGCTACAGCACTTAGACCAGTTTTTGATTTCATCGCCATTTTTCCACCTTTTCTATCCTTTACACCTATCTTTATTTATTTGTTTACTTCATGTCTTCTTTTTTATTCGAAAAATGGATGCTCTTACTATACAGGAATGCAGTTACCAAACCTACTAATAAACCATAGACAAAATAAAAGACATCTTTCTTTCCGTATAATAAACTCCAAATAATTTATACAAAAATTGTATATTGTTTTATTTTGTTTCAGTTTTGTACGAACCGACAGATGCAGCAGTAGCGGCGAAACCGTTTCAATCAGACTTCCACAGGGCCATTAAATTAATATCTCCCAACGCTAACGAATTGAAAGAAATAGCGAATTTTCTGAATATTGAACAAAGTAGCTCTTCGAGTATCGAAGATATAGCTGAGCTTTCTAAAAAGTTGGTGGAGTATGTAGATAACGTGTTGGTAACTTTAGGACCGAGGGGAGTTTTAATAGCAAGGAAAGCCACCGTATCGGATTCATTTTGGTGTAAATCGAGCGAAAGAAACGTACGAGTTAGGTATTATCCTGCTCCTAAAGTTATGGACATAATTAACGTTAGCGGGGCCGGGGATTGTTTTATTAGTGGTTTAGTTGCGGCATCTCTTTCGAATAAACCCGAAGATATTTGCGTTTCGGTGGGGTTTGCTGCAGCTAATTTAGCTTTAAAGGTGAAGAAAACAGTTCCAGACAATATGTTCGACGAATCGCACGTATCTTGGAACAAACCAGCTGTTTATAAAACTCTTTTATAATAGAATAATAAAAAAATGGTTCTGGTCAGAAATTTATGGGCTGACTTTCCAAATGAAAGTAATGTAAATGTCCAATATCTTCTTTCTTTAAGTCAATGTCAATATTATGTTTTGACTTTTGACACTTTTGACTTATGTAATGTCAATCAATTATTTCTTGTTAATTTTAAATAAAAATTCAATAAATTGGTAAAAATCTATCAAATATATAATGGCTGTTCGTTTAGGAGGTGCTTTGAAAGAATTAAGGATACATTTATGCCAAACAGGACAGGGCAGTCAAGGTGTCAGGTACAATCATTGAAACTTACGAATAGGTTATGTAATAAATTGAATTGTCCTTATTTTTGCAGAGAATTTATAGAGAAATGTTACGTTGAGTTAAAATCTTCGAATCCCAAGTTCCCCATACTTATTAGAGAATGTTCAGGCGTGGAGCCCAGAGTGTGGGCACGATACGGTAATTATTGTCATTTTGTTCAAGAAAATTTTGATCAGATAGTATTACGAACCTGATGGTTTTATTTATGTTTTCAGAAAAGGGAAAAGAAAAGTGTTCTACTTTAAAAGATATGTCATCAGATGAAGTTAAATCGGTTATTTCAAAATTAGCAAAAGACAATTAATTAGCCAGTAGAGAATTGTAGTTTGTGAAGTTAATAAATTCCTCTGCTGTATTCACTTCGAATAATTACACCAAACGAGTAATAGTAAATTCAATATATTTGTACTATAAAAAGTTTTCTATAAATTTCACTTTTTCAAACTAGGTAGCCCGAATTTTTCGAGTGGTGCATCATCCAAACATTTAATCACTACATGAGCTTCTTTCGTGAGTTCCGGTGGTACGTTCTCGTCTGGGATCATTATAGCTTGCATTCCAGCACTCAAAGCTGCCTTTACTCCATTCGGGGCGTCCTCGAAAACCAAACATTTTTCTGGGGAAGGTTTATCAGGAAATCTTAAAATAAAATAATGAGGAACAGTCAACTAAAAATCAGGTTATTAACTCACCTAGATGCGCAAACTAAAAATATATCTGGATTTGGTTTTCCTTTCTTCACTTCAGGATCACTGCCACCCGTTACCACGTGATTAAACAAACAAAATAAATCTTTATGGTGTTTCGTTTTGAGCTCGTAACTCTCCTTTGATGAAGATGTGCCCACAGCAATGGGAATACCGTTGAGTTTAAGGTGTTTTATCAAATTACAAGCGCCTAGAACGTTACAAATTAAGTTGTTAACATAAGTATTTTTCTAATTTTGGTTCAACTACTTTAGTGTATGCAGTAGCACAAGAAAACTAAGATTAGTAGCGATTTGTTGCGATCGAATTTACCTGGCATGAGAGCAACGTTACCCATTAAACTATGTGCTTCGTGTCTAAATTGAAGTTGAAACTTTTCAACAGAAACGGGCAGTTTCAAGTCGTCTACGAGTAATTTACTACAATCTTTTTCCGGCCTACCTACCACTTTAACCTGAAGTTGTGTCGTGTATTTGTGACCGAACGAGCGAAGGACTTTCGTGAGTGCCGCTTTATAAAGAATTTCAGAATCTGAAAAGATAAAAAATGGAATTACCCACCTGGCATCAAATCACAACTAGGCATGAGCTCGAGGTATTGTTTTTGAGCTAACGAATAATATTCTTCAGGTGTTATTGGTAAATTATAAATTTCGACTAATTTTTTGGCACTCTCCATGCTGTGCAGGCCCATCAATTGAGCTTTTACCGCCCATGAATAGGTTTTACCGAACTCGGTCAAAATATTTTGAGTAGCTTTCGTATATAATGTTTCAGTATCTGAAAGGATATCGGTAATAAGACTACACTAAACATACGAATGAAATGATTTTTTACTTATGAATGGAGGTTTTTTTTAATGAAACATTGAACATTGTTTTAGTGCAATAACCTGAAAGTAAACTTTTGTTGTTTTATTAGATAATTAAATTTACCTAAAATAACACCGTCCATATCAAAAATGACGTGTGTTACTTTTTTGAACGACCTGCAGGAGTTCATTGTACAATAAATTTTTACAGATTAAAACAAAAAATTATATCAAAAAATAATACATAACCAATTTAAAAAATAAGGTCATGTTTGACAGGTGCTGTCAATGTCAAACTGTAGTTCCCTTATCAGACACTAGAAGGACTAAATCTTCTTTTTCTAGATGACGTGTAAATAAAAAAATTCTCTCTTTTTTTGTGTTCTGTTCTATTTATTATTGTCATAAATGCCATTTTTGTAATCATCTTGTCAGTTTGAGTTTAAAATTTCTAAATTTCCAATTTTATAGTTAGAGGTGAAGAACAAAAGACACGTTTTATTATTTGTAAACCCGTTACTTACAAGCCGAGATCGACCGATACCTCGCCGTGATATAACAGTATTTTCCTGAATGTTTAAAGTTTTGGTTGCTATCCAGTGTAAACTTGATAAAAAATTATGGCCAAGGAAAGTCAATGCAGGGGATGTTCCGGTGCTATTAATACATATTTAATTGCGTACAATGGGCTGCAAACATTAGGGTAAGAGTTATTTTGTAGGTAATTAAAATTGTTTTGGTGCCAAGTCAGCTTTAGCTCATTGTAATTGCAGTGTTTTCAATTTAAGTTCAATTAGGTGGCAATTTAGTGTAAGGCTGTGGTAAATACTTATTAAAATATAGGCAATTAGAAAGCCAATTATGTATTATTATTAGGCCAGTTCTAGGATAAATTTAAATGTGTTTTTATGTTGTTGTTTTTATGCGGGCGGTCTTTCCAGCCCCGTGACCACCTAGATCTAATGATCCTCTGTAGTTAAATGTGTTTTTAAATCAATAAGTTTTTTTGTCAATTTGGTAATATTGTGGATTTATTTTTACTAAATAAATATGCTCAAATAATTAAATACTAGTAGTAGTTAACGTCATAGACTTGTAGTATTTAATTGTAACAACTGTAACAGTTTAATGTTACCTGCACATATCTATAATTACTTGTAAAATGAATGTTATTAATTAATTCAGTTTAAATGGAAAATCAATTTATTTCGAACATAATTATATAAATAAGCTTCATTAAACACGCGCTTTTCAATGTTTCGAACTCAAAGTAATGGAGAATTATGTTGTTGTTTTTATAATAGATTCAATCACAAACTTTTAATTTTCTAATTGATTTGTTACAGATGGTCGTATCTCTTCTTCCAGCTGATATCTCATTACCTGTTCACAACTTCTGAATCCCTCTACGAAGAAGTAAAATGGACGGTAATTGTCTTTCAAAACGCCGCCGTTTTGGAAGTAATCCATGCGGCTACCCGAATTGTTAGATCTAATCCCTTACTAACGGCCTTTCAAGTAGCTTCAAGGGTAATCGTAGTATGTGGTATACTAATAGCCACGAAATCACCGCGAGACAGTTTAGGGCTGCCTTTGGCCCTTTTAGCCTGGTCTGTAACTGAAATTATCAGATATTCCATGTATGCTTTGAGCTTGCTGGGACAAGCACCGTACTTTTTAACTTGGTTGAGGTAAGTCCATAGGGGTAAATAAATGAGAATAATTAGAAGTTGTGAAAATGTAATTGTTTGTTGAAACAATTAAAAAATGCAATTAGATTTAGTAGAGGATACTTTAGTATTTTTCTTGTGACACTCGATTGTATTTAAATTTTGTACTTAGGATTTTCAGCTATTTTTAAAGAGTTTTGCATACAATAGCAGGTCAGCAGTCATTAAATAAAGTGTCGTGAAGTCATGCTGATATGATAAAAATCCTAAAATTTGAATACTGCATAATTAGGTATTATATGGAATTATATGTATTATTTTTTTAGGTACTCAACTTTTATCGTTTTATATCCAATAGGAATTACTGGGGAATTATTATGCATATATGCAGCACAACAGGAAGTAGGCGAAAATAAACTGTACACAATCTCGATGCCTAATAGGTTGAATTTCATCTTCAACTATCAACACGTTTTGGTATTTTTGATGCTGTTGTACATTCCTCGTAAGTATGGATTTCTCTCATTTAAGACAACATTGCTTTACTTGACATTTAACATCCAGTATAAACACTCTTTGGCTATCTTTTCCCTAAAATCCTACTGTAAATATTCATTAATTTTCATCATTACTATCATTAGTATATCGTGTCATTAACTTTATATTTTACAATTGTTTTAGTGTTTCCTCAATTATATCTTCACATGTTCGGTCAAAGGAAAAAGGTGCTAAATGGGGGACTGAAAAAAGACTAAGAATAATAAATAAGTGTATTTCATACTTAATGTTAATTGCTCAAAAAATATATACATTCTCTGTTACATATACACTTGTTGTTATTGTATGAATGGAAATAGGATTATGATGATTCATAATATATTAAGTTTTTAAAGCTTTTTCAACTTTTCTGGAATGCCGGCTTTTTGATTGCGATAGTGCTTTCTCCAATTCGTTTACAAAATGCATCAAATTATTGGGATCAGTCTGCAGAAGGTGCTTTTCTGTTTGCGAGACGCCATTGTCGTCTGTTTTGGTGGTAAGTTCCATAGTTACGAGAGGAGTAACTTGATGGTTAAGAGATCTGGATGAAACTTGTGCTTCGAATCTCCATCTCAAATTATCAAAGTGTGGCTCGCTAATTGAAACTTTCAGTACTTCGTGTATTTCATCTTGTTTTGTTGTATAGAGATTACTTAGTACAGTTTGTTGTTCGGATGAAAAACCTAATGTGAGAACTGAATCTCGAAAATCGGCTTCGCTTAACTAGAACAGTTCATATGAAATTATGTATTTACCGGAGTATTTTGTGGACTTACTGTGTGTTTACAACTAATTAGTAGTAAATTAACTATCCCATAAATACAGTTTTGTACAACTTCCACCCCTGTTCCTAATTTATTCGATATTTTAGTATATTGCTCGACATTTGCGCCGTTATTTAGAAATTGCATGGCCAACTTACAGAAGTTTTCAACAACTAAAAGATGAAAAATTAGGTTTGGTTTGAAATACGGAGATACGACTTGCTTTGAACTGGTTGAAGAGTTAAATATTGTAAATGTTCTCTATGGTTTTTTCGTAATGATATCAACATTTTAATTGTGTAAATTCTAGATCGCCTTACAATGTTTACGTTTGTAGAAAATTTGACATCTGTGACGTCTGTCAAGAGAAGGTACATTGTTGTGAAGATAGGCATTTCTCATAAAATTTCTTCTATATTAGTCATAAGGTGTTTTGGATATTCGGTCAATTTCACAAATTTCTGGACAAACGAACGCAATCAGTTGTACCAACATTAGCAGCAAAAAGTTCATAATGTTGGTGTTACTGATATTTCTCCATAACAAAAGTGCTAGCAAGAAAATACTCGTAGCTGATTCATAATTTTTAGTAGTTTAAAAATTTGTTTCTTTAAATTAATTCAACTGTTTTTATAATGGATGAACCGACATCAAGTGTTCTTACTTGTGACAATATCGAGGTACCTTTTTATTATATAACATTATTGCGCCTTATGGTTTGCCATAGTTGTGAATTGTTTCTGAAATTTAAATATTGTTATAGGACACCGTGCCTTCCGAATGGAAATATAAAATTTTGAAAAAGCTAGTATTTGGCAATCCACCTAAGCTGGAAGTATGCCTGAAAGTTTCTCTCTTCTCTGTAGACGAAATAGAAAAGTGGATAGAATCATTGGAGGAAAAAACCCAATGCAGCTACTCGATACAAATGACTAAAAAAACCATGGGCGAAAAAGTGTTATTCAAAAGAAGGTACCATTGTCGTTTAAAAACGAAATTTGACAAAGCCCAGTGCGAGTCCAATGCACGTACAAGAAACACAAGGTGCCCATCGAGGTTGTCAGTCACCCTAATGAACGTAAAGAAGAAAAAATTCCGGGGGAAGTACCCACCGGATCCCGAAATGCCCTGTTTAATCGACTACGTCATCACCCACAATCACAGCCTTCGTTTAGCCGCTCGGTACCGCAAAGTTCCCAAAAATACTCAAGACACCTTAAATCTACTCTTTAACAGCGGACATTCAGCTTCAACTGCTTATGAAATTCTTCGAATCGATACCCAAATGCATAATCCCAATGACTATGAAGAATTGTTGGGTATGTATTATTTTAACGGTTTGTTAAACATATTTATTTCTCTTGTATTTTAGTCAATCGAAGCGTCTGTCCAGATCGCAATTACTGCCATAAATTATACAATAATTTTAAGAAGGATCACGGCAATGTTGATTTTAACAGAAAATCGCTTGTTTATGAACGAATTGAGCAATATAATAAGGAAGTAGGCGAAGAATGTGCCCAATACGAAATCACTACAGATGGTTATGTAATTGTGTAAGTAATGTAGATAATACAGAAATGGTATACCATTCATAAATTATTGTTTGTAGACTGTGTCCGCCATTATTTAAAAGAATTCATCAACACATGAAATCTGCTTCGGAGATCGTCTTTATGGCTGCCATTAACAAGGCTGACAATGATGGTAGTAAAGCATTTTTCATGATGACTAATAGCGACTGCGGTGCTCTTCCTTTAGGCATTATAATAACAAGCTCCGAAGACGATGAGCTCATTACGATCGGTCTAAACAATCTAAAAGCTCTAATTGGAGACAGCATATTCTTCGGAAGTATCGAAGGACCTCAAATGTTCATATTAGATGATTGTGAAGCGGGACAAATAGCTTTGAACTCAGTTTGGCCTAATTCGGATGTACTGTTTTGCAGCCTGCACATTTTACACACTCTGTGGAGGTATTTGATGTGCTCCAAAAACGGATTGAACGGCCAGGAGCCCATCGCGTTTTTCAAGCAATTTAGAATGATTTTGTACGCTGAGTCCATAGAAGAATGCAACCAATACTACAACGAAGCCATCCAAGCTGCTGCAAACCATCCGAATTACACGCAAATCTTGGAAGCCTACTGGGATAAACGGGACATGTGGGCTCAAAGTTACAAACAATCCTCATCGCCTACTGATATTACGAAAATACACAACTTAGAAAAGTCGATGTGTCTGCTAAGGGAGCCTATATTTCACCGGATGAGAGGATTCAACGTCGTGCAATTGGTAGACTTTCTGTTAACGAAGTTTGTGGAATTTTACAAGCTGCGACTTCTCGATGCTGCTAATTGCAGGCTGGTGAGGGACTTGACGAAGAAAAATCCGCTCCCTCCGGTGATCAAAGCTTTAGAACAAGTCAATAATCACATATACTTGGTGCCTAGTATAAAACTGCCGCATGTAAGGTACTACGTTAATGTGGAAATAGTGACTTGTACTTGTCTGAAAAACGCTACCGGTTATATTTGCAATCATATCGGCTGGCTTCTTACTCTGAACGCGTCGAATCAATGTAGAATTGAAGATGTGGATGTGCGAAATGTATTTCACGAAGCTGCTACTGGTGAAAAATTGGTATTTTTGGATGAAGATGTATCCGATGAAGAAGGTGCAAATGAAATGGAATCGAACGATGAAAAAAGCTTGGTTGACGATCTAATTGTAGCTGGGAACGAAGTTATAAAGCTGGAAATAATAGAAGAAAAATCAAATCTACCACGTGTCGGCGTTTTTGTGCCTGTAGTATCGGATGAGCAGGCCTTAGAGATCGGAGAGAAAATTAATGAAGACTTATTCAAAACTTTTGGTTACTTCTTGAACAAATCGCCTTTAACAGTGGGACCCGTTTTGCAGCAAATGCTCAATAGTTTTCAACAATTGAGTTCTGTCGAAGAGTTCTTAACAACATGCAAACAATTTACTGAAGGTATGTGCTCAATTATTTTTTACATTATTTCAAGAATTTTATATGATTTTCAGTTTTAGAATCAAATTGTGCAAATTCGTAATTAGTGGACATGAGGTTGACGAAGTATACGATGGGAAGATTTCTTCGTGTAATGAAACTTTTCAGCTTCATTCAGCATCGAATCATCAGCTCTGCTCGTTAGTTATGGGGTAAGTACAACTCTAATAACACAACAAAACCGAAATTATACTTTTATTTATAATATAGATATATTTCAAAACTCCAATAATGTACAAAAAATATCTGTGTAATTAAATAATGCTTTGTCAATTTGTTCATATTTTTATATTTCGGTCGCTAGGTGTAATTGACAATATAATCAAGTTGAATTCTATTTCTACATACAGTGTTTATCGATCCTTCAACAACAATAGTTTATTGATCTTGCTTTAGGCTAAGATGCTACAACCCGCTTACATATTTATCCCGGCGCATTCAGTATATCAAATTTATTATTCCAGATATTTACAATTTTTGTTAACACCGTGAAGATTACGTAGTCACGGTGATAATACGAACGAAAAGATTTTAGCACGGTAAACACGACATCGTGACTCTGACTTGAGTAAAATCTTAGCCTGTTCTCGATCTTTTTCATACGAAAGACAATTTTTTTAATATGACGCTAAATTTATTTATTCACAGTTAATTACATTTTCGTTTTTTTTTTATATAAAATGACAGTTCTGGAATTGAAATTGCTGTTGAAAAATCAATGACGGTCTAGGACATAGGTCCTAGCAACAGTAACATGGCCAACGCCTATCACAATGTCCAACAAAACGGGCTTTTCCAAATAACATACTTTAAATTATGTATAAAATATTAACAGTTACTAATTTATACTTTTTGGTAATGCGTAGCTTGAACACTCACTAAAAGGAAGACAACACTAAACATATCGATAACAATTATCATCGTAGTTCGGTCGAAACGTAAGTAAATCACAGGGTGTTATACATTTTTTTGAATTAAAGTAATACAATTAAACGGTTAATTTTAAACAAATATAATATAATTAATTGAAATAACTATTAAGTAAAATAAAATTTATAAAAACTCAAATTAATATTTACTAAAATCAAACGAGGTTAATAACAATGATATTAGAATTATTGCAATTTACATTTAAGGAAACAATCGAGCCTTTCTTTGAAATCCGATTAAAATAATTTACCAAATGTATGTGCTTGTAATATCGCTCGCTTGAAATTGATCAACAAATTCTAGCACGCGATTTTTGTCGAAACAAAAGCAAATCCCTAAATACTCCATTTTGTTATACATATTTTGAGCAGTATCTATTCAAATGTAGAAATGCGAGTGTTACTTTTTTGGAAACAATCAACATTCGACTGAACTACGACAATCAAACGGTTTCATTTAAAAACTATTCTTAATATGTATAAATATAAACAAGTCCTTGAAAAGTATTTACAATTGCACGATCACCCTTTACGCCTTCCGTTCTGTTGCTCCGCACTACCCTATCTTAAATATATATATTCTTATATATTTATTTTTTTTTATATATAATATATATATAACGAACAAGCAACGAAGTAATGCACTTTTGATACAGCTAACCTGTCTGGATTACAGCCTGTGGTACGAGAACCAATGAGGTACCTAGTAGTGTATATCTCTAATATGTACAAGCGGTCACTCCGAGAGCAATTTCTGCAGAAGCGATGACTTCTGATCACCTTGTCGACCCTCCTCCATAGTATTCTGCAAATCAGACCAATGCAATCAGACAGGTACAACAATTTTTATTTTTAATTATTTATATTTATGTTAATCCGAATGTCCTAGCGACACTATTGGAAACAAAAAAAAGAACGGTTTTTCATGTGACAATTTCACTTTCGCATAAAGCGGAAAGTCTGTAGTCAACATTTCAATTAGTAGAAGCTTGAACGGAAATTTTTTAGCAAAAATAAAAAAAAAATGAAAGACAGTCTCATGCTATTAATATTGTTATTAATAAAACCAGCAATGTTTTAGTTGCGTTAAGTGACGGTGCTATTCATATTCGATCAACTGTAAAAAATTTATTATTGAAATTGAAATATGTATTAGCAGAAACTTATCGGAGATGATAGAACCGTCCCTAAATAAGCTAGGGTTAAAATGAAACAAACATAATTAATGGTAGTAAATATGTACAATAATTAAAAAATTTAAACATGCATGCACACCTATAAAGTGTATTTAATTAGTAACAATAAAAAGCTGCTGGCGAGGAAAAAGCGTAAGTGAACAGGTGTGTGTATGGCTTACCCTCGAGTTGACTGGCTGCGGAGACATTGAGCCCATATCTGAACCCATCGCGCCCCACAGTTTTGGGCTATCACTCGCACCTGCACGCAACAATGACAATCATTGTACACCATTGCATTCCCTACAGAATAACCCTTATTGCTCTGCTCTAAATTTCACACAAGTTAACAAAAAGTAATTTTTATCAAATTATTGGATAGTTGAATTACAGAACAATTAGAGTGATATCTGCCCCTTTTATTACGTTTAGCACATAAGACACACAATACGAAAACCAATTTAGTCCGAAGAAGATGGAATTTATTTCCCAAGTACAAATTCGATTTTCCTCTGTGATATTAATAGTAAACTGTACAAAAATAATTTATACAAATTTATTATTTCATAATGTCTTGTCAAACATTGCTGGTCGAGACTCTGTAAAATTATTTTATCAATGTTTCCCTATTCTAGCTATTGATGAATGAGATCTTTTAAATTAAAGCAACTGATTGAAAGTTTATTACTAATAAGAAGATGGGCAAGGACAAATTATATTTTAATCTTGCCAAAGGATACCAACTTTTTCCAATTTTTCACATTCTGTAGTTACTTCGGTAAAAGTTTGTTGGTAAATTTATGGAAAGCCCTGTAGACACAACTTGTTAAAATGTTCTTTGTTAGTAAAATGTAAATCGTGAACTAAGCCATAAATGACCTTAAACGCGTAACAAAATTAATACGTTCATCCCCAAAAACACAATCCCTTGGTTAAGATACACAACCTCCCAAATATAATCCGCGTATGTATGTACAAACAGACATAACCAACAACGTTTGACGTAGTTTCAACAGACAACGGGACTCGTGTACTTACCGGTAGGCATATTATCGAAATTGAGTCCTAGAGTTTCGAGATCATTGACTTGCTGCTGTTGCGACAGTTGCATTTGCGAGGGCGGCCTGTTCGGCGGCGCCGTCGCTCCCGCCGCCGGTTGGGATTGCGCCGTCCTCGCTCCGACGACGGCGCGCAATTCCTGCCGCACGAACTCCGACGTCGGATTGCTGCCCGATACACCTGCGGGAATGGTCGCGTTTCGTTAGAAAACCGATCGACGGGATTTTTCGGTGTATCTTACACGGCAGCGTATAAATTCGACGGGTTTTTACATCGAAATAAAATCCGGGCGATTTAATAAATTCAATTCGCACGCTATTTGATGCGCGTTAAATTTAAATAAACGCCCGGTTTATTATTGAAAATCCCCGTTATTTAACGCGCTGTATAAATTTTTAATAATTTTCAAGAAATAAACACAATGCTTAATGACCACTTACAAAAGTCTTAATAATAGTTATTGTTCAGAAAATTGCTTCCGAAGAGCCGTCACTCTTGTTTTAAACTAAATACATTTCTTTCAACTACTTAATAAATTACAACAAGATTAAACATCTCTACATGGAAACAATTACTGATCGATTAACCCTCGTGATTAAACTATGATCTACATTATGTTAATAAACAACCTCAAAATACTCTAACAACTAAATGAAGACTTCTGAAGTAGTGGAAATGCTTTATCGAATAAATCTAACTGCTAATTTAAATAATCGCAGGCAAAAATCTAAATCTTAAATAAATATTTTTAAGTGCATCATGCTCTTGAAAATTACATTATATAAAAAAACATCATGTATAAATCGCAAGACAAATATAATCGTGATAGATGAAAGAAACAAAAAAAACACTAAGCACAAATAAAACTGCAAACTAAAAAGTATTAAGCACACATATAAAAAAGCGACATAAAATCAGCTAGGATATAACATTTCTAATGATTTTTTTTACCCATGGCGATATTAAGGAGATAAATGGGGGGCGGCGATTTATTTAAGGATTTTTTTAGGATTATAAAGGACACAAAGTTTTTGGTTTTTTTTCCCAGTGATTTTTAGCACAGCTATGAGGCGAGCACATGTAAATGTATATGAGGAGTCTACAATTCACAAAATTCACTTCCCAACATTTTCCTGAATAATTTCGTTCAGAATATTGAAAACATTCCAAACGCACCGAGCGAATTTTTATGATATTGTAAACGAAACACTGATCGTATGAAAAATGTTGTTAGACACGTAGGATTGTGCCAAAATGAGTGCTATGGTGAGGATGACGCGACAATTAAATCCTCAGAATAAAAAAAAATCAATACCGCAAACGTCTCGATTTTCTACAAACAAAATAGCAACCGAACTAACAAGTCAACCAACCAATTATTTAGGTCGATTGGATGACTTTCTTCGTTATATTGTATCGGGAAAAATTAGGAAGATTCTGAAGATTTTCCTTCGTCGGGGTGTAACATATTGTTTTTTTTTGAGATATAACAGAGGTGCCCCTAGCTTTGCCAATGGACAACGACTTACCAGGCTGAAGGTGAGGCGGGGGAGCCCGACCCCTGTCCGAGCCATTGTAGGCTATTGGTATACCCGTCTGATCGTAACAGTACTGGGAGGAATCTTGTTGGTAACTCATCATGGGAGGAACAGTGTGCGGATGGGGAGGAACGGGAGGATAAAGGTGAGGATGGTGGTCCCTGCCTGTGTATGACCGGGGTGATCCCAGCCCACCTGTAACACACGCCACCCTCTCAATTCGTGGTGTCTAATATCCTTTTTTTTTACCCTATATCCTAACAAGGTAACCGACTAGAAGATTACCTTCCTTTCAATTTCATTATATTATTCTTTTTTAACAATAGCAGCATAAAAGGAATGTAATATTGTTCTACAACTTGATGTCAAAAGAAGCCAAAAATATTCTCACTCTAATTTTATACCTAATTAATTTTAATCGTTACTTTCCCCAATTTTCTATAAGTATACTTCAAATTAATCAAGAATTTTAATTAACTGAAAATTCTACTTTATTTAGAACCGGTATTTTCGCACAAGTAAAGTCCGAATAACAATAAAAATTAAAATACCATCATTGAAGTTAAAAATTGTTCGAATCTAGTTATAAAAATAGTAGATAACTCCACTCCGACTTTATCTAAGAGAGAAAATGCCGACTCTGCGTGGTTATTGAGAAAAATAACTGAAAAATTCTACCATGCCGTAATCATCGTAACAATTTTAATATTCTAAGAAATTTGTTTCCTACGAATGCATGGGTAGCAAGTTCAAACCATGCCAAACTTATTCGGTAAAGAGAGAAAGAGTCATTAATATAGTTGGTACTCGGTTATATTGTGAAGTATCCGCAAAATATATCTAAAATGTCTCATTTTTTATTGACAAAACAAAGTGTCTGGCTTTTGAATATTTCTAAATTTACGGATAAATATCAATACAGGATTACTTGATTTAGGACCCTATTACTAACTTACAGATAAGTTCCGAATAACTGACAGAAATTACTAGTTACTATTAGTACCTTATCTTTCGGTTCGTAATATGACCCCCAGTCAATTTAGTACCAATTTATGTAGCAACAATACAATCCTCAAAACGTAGGTTTGCCTTATCGCCTTCGTTTGTGAGAATAAAACTAGTTTCAAATTTTGCAAACACGACCAACTCTAGAAAAATTAAAAAAAAAAACAACAAAATCGTGAACACTCGCACAAAAGTTCAAACTTCAAAAATTTCAACGGTGTCAATTTCTGGTAAAAAAATCTCAACAGCCCGCCGAAAAATTCCACAAAATAAACCGAACGCCGCTGTCAAGTCGAGCACATACGCAAAAAGTTCCTTTTATTTCGGTGAAAAATTTCGGCGGCTCAAAAAACGAAATACCCAAGAGGCGATCGCCGAAAATAATCCTTACCTGGCAGCTGCGTCGTCGCGTTCGGCACGCTGTTCGCGCGCTGATGTCTCAGGTACTGATTATTATACGCCGAATTTGGAGAATTCGGCGGCGGAAATTGATCGTTTGTACCGTAGGGCGAATGCCTATTCGATACCGATCCAGGACTGTTGATGGACCTCTGCTGTTGCTGAGGCGGTCTCTAATATCACCAAGAAAAAAAAAAGAAACTCTCATTAGTAACGATGTAACGAAAGAAAAAAAAAGGTATTATTAAAAGGCTTACGGTAAGCTGGGCGCTCAGCATCGGATTCTGCTGCATCCTGGACTGTTGCTGTTGCCACGTCGCGTTCTGGGCGTTGCTTTGGGGATAGGCTTGTCGCGGCGACAATTGGGCGTTGAATTGCGACTGCGGCGACATGCCGGCGCCGGAATTCTGGTAATTGCCGACGGAGGTAGTTTGCGGAAAGGCGGGCGAACCCAGCTGCGAATGCGGCGAATAAGGCTGTTGATTGCTCACTCTGGACGTCTGACCGTAAGGCGGCGATAACTGAGGCTCGTTCGGTACGCTCGACGAACGTTGCAACGACACGTTCGGCGCCACCGTGTTATTCAAAAGGCTATCGATGCTCTGTATAGAATTAATCTGTAAACGACGAAATGATAAAACCCCGCATTTATTTATCGCATATTGCACACGAGTTACTCACGTTATTGGATATTTCGTTGGCGTTAGCTGCGGCATTGGACGGTATCAACAAATGTTGTTGTTTCTGCTGCATTAGCAAACGCCGTTTCTGCTCCTGCTGGTACAACAGCTGCTTCCTCTGCAATTGCTGCAGGGCGGCGTTCGAAAATTGCTGATTACCGCCGACGGCCGAGCCGCGGATTTGCATCCTTTGAAATTTATTTGCTTGCGAATAGTTCGGCGGCGGCGGAAAAACGCCAGCGGAATTTTGATTCAGCTACACATATACATACACAACACATTACTACTAACGCATATCATTAAATTACATCGTATACTTACGTTCGACGAAGAATACGCGGGAGGAGTGTTGCTCGATAAAGTGATCGGAGGCGATCCGGGACTTTTGAGAACGCTCTCGCACTGCATCAGCACCTTCTGGATGTTGTTGATGGCGACGGCTTCGCTGAGGGCGAAATTGTTGTTCTGCTGTCCGTCGACGTTGTCGGGCATGTTCATTTCGTCCGGCACGAAATCTATAACCTATCGAAACACCGTCGGTTTAACCGGCGAATTCCAAGCGAAAAAGCGACGATTTCGAGACTTACTTGATCGAGGAGCTCCGACAGCAGCGGATCCGAGGCCTGGATGTTGTTGTCCCACAGAGCGTTGTTGTCGGTGGTCGAGGTGGCGGGCGACGTGAAACAATTCGAATTCACCTGATTCATCTGGCGGCTATCGTTGCGTTGCATATTATTATTAGAATTATTAGTATTGGACAGAACGTTGAGGTAGTTTCCGGTTTGTTGAAATGGACGACCAGCCATTCTGAAAGCATCAAATGTTAATTACTCAATCTACTGACATTTGACATTTTTCGCGTTCTTTATTTTTTTGGCCTTCATTAACGAGACTATTCAGCCAGCGAACGATAGTGTAGAAAGGTAAAGTATAAGCGAAAAATTATAAATGTACCTATTGACTCCCATCCTGTTGTTCATTGAATTTTGATTCATAACGAGTTGTATAGATTTGTTAGGGTCAGAGATCTTTGGCAGTGAGTCATAAGGTTTGGCAGTGATCACTGTGGTAGGAATCGGCGGAATCGTTTGCGGGGTCGGATTTTGTTTATCCAACAACATCGCCAACATCTTGTTTTGTTCTCGTAACGTACTACCTTTCTTCGTGGCCGATGACGATACCTAAAACGAACCGAATTCATAATAATCGCGCGGAGACGAAGCGAATTCTAATGAAACCAACCTGCGAACCGTCGGTGCTTCGTTTACTATTGGTATTATCGTCCTTATCGTCGATTGATCTTTTCCTGCTTTTGTCCGTCGGCGACGGCGGAAAACCTAACACTCTCATCAGAACGTCCTTGCACTGAGCGTCGTTGTTGCATTGAAGATCGTTCTTCTTGTCGTCGTCTCCGTCCCGGCTGGGATTCAACAGTTGCTGCAACAATTCGCTCTTCTTCTTCACTCCCGCTCTCGACTCCAAATCGTCGTCGTCGCTCTTGTTTAATAACTGAAAAATTCGAGAAAATTTATACACTCCGTACGCGCCCGATTTCATTTATCAAATCCATTTTCGTAACCGCCTCGTTATTCAATCCCTCTATCACATGCTTACTGCATTTCATTGACGGTTGCAATAATAAAACCCGCAATTTTTACGACCGCAATTAAAGTCGTTTCAGTGAAAAATAATATAATGAAAACGATTATAAACAAAAGAAAAATCGAGTTGAATGCACCTTAAAAAATGTAAATTAACCATAAAAATATATAGTATAACAGTTAACTAACTTTTAAGTTAATTTTTATGTTTTACTTGAATTGAACACGGCTATAAGAGGTTGCGACGTGTGTAAATTAAAAATAAAAGTAAACGAATGTACATTATAATAAAATGGAATTAATGATTCTTGCTAATAGTCGTTAATCGTCGTTCAAAGTGTATTTTTAACCCGATAACTCATCACAATTTACTTTAGTACTACCAAATTTATCTTGCAATCGAAATTAAAAATGAAAATCACGTCTAATAAAATTCAATTTTCTACTCGTCCAAATTTTTTCCTATTGTCGCCCAAATATATTTTGACTCGTTAATAAATTCATCAACCTAAACAATATACGAAACTGTATTTAATTTCAAAATCAACACGACCATTAAATGCTTTAATGAATTGAATAATAATGTACAGCGTCATAATGTAACTAACCTAACATTACCTTGTTTGTTTCACGTGTTACATTAGTTCAATGTGAAACGATAAAATTTTTGACAACATCGATAGACTTGTAGCGAGTACACGAAAATGAAGACCGCAAAAATAACGTTACTGTATCGACTAATGATTACGATTGGTTATTACATTGCTGCGGTTAATTTTATTATTCACAAGTGACTAAAATTCGTTTGAATTTCTTTTCTGTAAAGTCGAATTAACATTTTCTTTCGTAAAATTATCGAATATTCGATGATAATGGACTCTACGTGGAAAAATTTTATTTTGCGGGCCGAAATTTAATAGGATTTTTCATTATTTAACGAGTAACAACACAAACAAATTTAGGAATTTTTAGATAAATACACCAATTTGCCTAGAAATTATTATCAAAGCGAAAATACATCTAGGTATAATCGCATTGCATCGTTCGTAAACATCACAAATAAACGATCAATTCAATTCGTCCAAAAGTAGTTATTTATCAAACAAAATAACGTGATGCATAACTGACGTTTGACCAGGTTAAATATTGCGCAGGTTATTACCATTACCGATTAAATTCCAATCGAAATGAGAAAACCACAAATTCTTACCACCATAATGACATTCCTACAATTCACAAATCAAACCAATAATAAATACATCGAGCACTCCAATCCAAAAACCGTAATATATCTCGAAAGAATTCTTGAACAACGCTCGGGAAGACTTATCTTTTTGAGGAGGTACTGACAACTGGTAAAAGTAATGCAAATAAAAATAAATCTGATAAAATTTGTATTTGAGTAGGCAGCGGAGAGAGGGACGAGGCGTAGAAAAGGCGACGTTGCCGCGTCCTAATCAACAACTTTATCAGCGCAAATTGAAAATTTTGCATGTACCGCAATCTTATCGACGAATGCGAAGATTAAAATGTACCGGAGTGAATTTCGCTAATTAACTCTTCGAGACGTATTTTCTTTTTATTTTCGATTTCGATTATAAATTAGTCGAAGGTGCAATTATGAATTTTAATCGTATCGATAAATAAATATACTAATTGGGCGCTGTAGACTTGTAAAATAATATATCGAAAATCGAAGTTATCGATTACCTGCAGACGTGTTGTAAAGAACATTATTTAGTCATTTTTTCGATACCCAATGAGGAGGTGATAACATTTTATTTTCTTTATCTTAGTAATTTTTTTCAGATATGGCAACTTCGCTTTTTGGTCAGTTTATTTTCTTAGAGCTATTACGAACCGTAATTTGGAAATTAATAATAATCCATTAGCAAAAAGCAATAATTACCGCGATCAGGAGTGGTAGAGAAATTAAATTTTTAAACAGGAGTTAGATAAACTGATAAAGGTTCTTTTCAATGATAAGGCAGCAAAATCAATTAAAAATTTCAACGTCACATAAACAAAACAAATATTTACCAATATTGACAACGAAACATCCTCAAAAACCCTCTACAGATACAAAAAGGAATTATTGTCTTACATATTTGTGACCAATTTGTACTTAACAATGTTTGTTATTGAAATTGAAAAATGCTGTTCACAAGGTATTACTTAAAGCATGATAAATACCGAACGATAACATTAAGACCGATAAGAAATTTAATTGTTATACACAAACTTATTTGTATTGCGGAGAAGCGGTCGAAATGCACATTTTAGTTCAAACTCGAAAATTTCGCCGGGACGAATTATCCGAGAGGATAACCGACCGGTCTATTCCTCCTTTCGCCGTTTTATTACCGCATATGTTGAAAAGGGCCCTATGTAAATATGAGTAAGTCGCCTAGTCGGTGCGTTTCCGAGAAGAAAAGGCCTTTGAAGAAACGAAACGTGACTAAATAACGTCAGATTCGAACGGCCGTTAAAATTTTATGGGGTGCACTAAAACTGTTTTAAAAAGCGCTTTAAAATCAGCGGCATCTCGCGAGGGCATGTATCAAACGTTTAATACTAATATAGTGTTTAGGAATTAATAAACATGTATATAAAGGATCACTTACAATTCTAAGCATATTGTTCCCGGCAGTAGAGGAACTCTTCGGCGGATCCGACGGGCCCGGTATCGATCCCGTCCGGCCCATCAAACTCCTCGGACTGCTCCTGTTGTCGTTCCTCAAGCTCTCCTCGTCCTTCTGGTTCAGCAGGCCCGTCAATATCGGATCTCTCGTCTTGTCGTCCGTCTCGCTGTTGACGTTCTGCCGTTGCGTCAGCAATATCCTCAACTTATTCGAATCGGCCATCGACATGCCGCCGTCCTCCAGGACGTTCGCTTTGGTATCCTTCTGCTGCTGCTGTTGCTGCTGCTGTTGTTGCTGCTGTTGTTGTTGCTGTTGCTCGCCCATCGAGTACCCTTGCTCGTTCATCGAGCCGAAGAAGTTGCCGCCGTACGGATTGCCCGAGACCGGCGTCGGCGGATTCGCCATCGTCGGGCTCGGCTGCGACGAGAACGGCGACGATTGCACTACGGTGGGCGCATTGCTGTAGGATGGGTTGCTGGGCGGGCGCGGCGTCGGCGTTATGCTCGTCCTCGAATCCGGTCGACCTGTCGTCGTAACATTTCCCAACATTAGCACCCTTACTATTAGGACGTATTTCGTTGTAAGCGCCCGTACTAATGATACATGTTTCGTTCTAATCGCCCGTACTATTATAGTCAGAGAGCAGCAGAACCGCATATTAATATTAGCTCAAAGCGCTCTTACTAATAATATATGAATAGAGCATACAGTTCCTCGACAATAACGATCTAGTAAGAAGACTCAAGTGGAAGAAGCCCTTTGAGTTAATAACTAAGTGTAAATGAACGTGTCAAGAAAAAGCAGAGCATATTAAATACATGTTATATAAAGTGTAAAATATTATCAGAACATATTAAGCAAAAATTACTCATTGATCATTATTATAAATAACTTATGACCGGGCAGCATGAGTGAACATTAGCACAAAGCGCCCTTACTAATCGCACATTTCGTCGCAATCGCCCGTACTGTTATAGTCGGGGGGGACCGGGAGAGTAGTAGTGAAAGGGTTTTACCTTCGGGCCAACTGTTGGATTCCAATTCCAACGTGGACGATGGGAAAATGTCGAGGTTGAAATCGTTGTCGAGATTGAAGGTGCTGAAGGTGGTGCTGGTGTTCAATAGGGCGTTGGCGAAGCTCTCGCTGGCCGAACTTAGGGGCACGCCGTTGCGGTTGCCGTTCACCACGTTGGGCAACAAAGGTCCCCCGACTCCCGTATTCGATGGGTTGCTGTTGGCGTTGCTCGCATCCGTTTGACCTACGAGATCGTTTTCGCTGGAAAAAGAAATATAATAAAGGATTTCGATAATGTAATCGATCGTTTAGAAACGCAATCATCACTTCAGTTATGGCTAAAAAGGAGATATGGAAGTACGTTGGTAAAGGATTTGCTTGAGGATTGCTTCCTCATTTGTGAGGACATGTTAACTAAAATTAAAGCTGTAAATTGATCGCTTTCGAATCTCGCCATTTGCTCGTTTCTTACGAATTTCCGAAAATCCTTGAGTGGTAGACTCGCGACGAAAATACATTCGCATCGAGTTTATTTTAATGCGCGCGATTTGTAAAAGAAGAAACAAAAAAAAACCGAACCAGCGCGGATTATTTGCGACCTTTACAACTGTTCCAAATTAAACAAACCTCGTCCGACTAAACAGATGACAAGTTTCTCTAATTGAGTTTCGGCTTTCGGACCCTTCTTCTCTCGTTAATTAATTAATAAAGTACAATGTCGAGTTCAATGTTGGCGCATCGCGAGCGCCCGGTTATGACTTATCGGCGTCAACGTGCCAGCGCGAATATCCGAAAAATACTTAACAAGACGTCTAACTTAACTCGAAACTAGCCACTGATACGAATCGAATTCCTCCAGGGCTCCTCAACTTACCGATCAACTATAGCACTCGCGAAGCACGTACGTACTTGTTGTGATATCCGAATCAAAAAATTATTCAATCACAAGTACCGATCGTCTTACGAAAGGAATTCGGTTATCGCGAAATTTCGAGCAACGTGAAACGGATCTCTCCTATCGACACGCTTCACAATTAAAAAAAAAATCTTAATATTTCTTCGATTCGATGGGTAGATGAGCGGCGTTTGCGTTGGTGACGCGATCGCACGGCCGCGGGCTGGCCGATTCGAAAATGTCGCACTGCCGAGTCGAAAAATCGTCGATGAGTTTGCGATAAATATTGGAGAGAGCCGCGTCGAGATAACGAATTGTGAGCCCGTAGATAAGAGGACGAAGAGGATGGGTAGTTTTATCGGGCGTCTCTCGTCACTTTTAGGATGTGAAACTTCGATGACGAACGCGCCTCGCACGAATCACATTCGAATTTAATGTTATTTATCCATGTAGTCGGTGTATGGCTAAACTTCGCCGTATTAGAGCTGCATATCAGCGTTGTTTAAGATAGGTTTATTTAGAAAAACTGTACAGATAATTTGTCGAGTTAGTTGTTTGTTTTTAATCTTGTTTTACATGAAAAAAAAAATCCAGCGAGGAGGTAAGAGAAACCGCAATCATTCCACGTACGAATTCTCGGTAGGTAATTTGATGAAAGAAAATCGAGTGTGCAATTTATAATAACACGTATTCGAAATCTTTCGATTCGTAAACAAATCAAATGAGTAAAACCGAGCATATAACTACAATTTTAGAACTGACGTAAGTGTGCGCTTAATGTCAATGGACTTAGCTTTTTTTTCAATGTTATGAGAAACGTACAACGTTCCGATACTAAATAAAAGTAAAGCGGGGATTTGAAGTGTCCTTGCCAAGAATGCCGCCGGTAAAAATTTCGTTTCGTTTACTTATACAGGGTGTTTCATAACAAAACAGTCGGAAATGTATCATCGACTTGTTTAAAAACAACATTACAGTTTGTAGCAGTAAAGTAAGTCAAAATTTTTGGTGGTTTTTCGATGTCTCGTGAATAGACACTTTTTTATTGGGTTGTGCCAAAGAATCGCTACGCAGAGAAAAATTACTAGATAAGAAACATGTAGTTTTTATTAGTTTTATCGGAAACGATTTAGCGCCTCCATTAGCGGTTTGATTTATAGTTTTAACGGATCATTTTCCAGAAATCCATTCGACCTTCAAACGGCATTCCATAAACACTCTACTGTTTACTATTATTGACTACAAGACATGTAACTAGTATTTATTATTTGTCCAACAATTAAACCAACTAGGTACATGTCTCATAAACACAAATTATAAATAATAAATCGAATAATAACGCGGCATATTGCTTATTTACAACCGTAGTGGTTTATCATTTGCAAATTTATCTAACCGAGTAGAATTTTAAAAATTTAGCTATAGATTATGGCAAAGACGAGTACTTGTAGACGTCTTATTTGCTCTCGTGTTCATTGCAAAGTTGTTCCGAGTGAAATTGAAGTGACGTTTGGGATAGTGAATCCCGCTAAGCTGTCTCGAGTTAATTACCTCAAATATTCCTAATGAAAAATGTGTATAGGGAGAAAAACACTTTAGAAAATGATGAAAGGTTTGTGCCAAATACTGGATTAATGATTGCAGTAGTCAATACTTTTTTTGAAAAAAAAATCAGTATATAAATGTCGATAAAATAACTTACCCAATGATGGAGTGCGTTGCCATAATAAAATCCAAATCAGAATTCGAATGGGGATTGGTCTTGAACAATTTCGATTTAGTCTGTACTTGTACTAACTTATCGGGTCCGATTTGAAGCCTATAAATCGCGCTCGACGATTGTCCCGAATTAATAGTCTCCCTCAAATGGGCGGTAATTTTGTGCACTTCCTGCTGCGGCACCAAATCCCTGATGGCCCGATTTTTCAGTTCCTTAATGTATTGCGCCACCGTATCCGGCAAACCCGAAGTGTCCACGCAAATAACCTTACCCGATGTGTCCAATTTAGTGGTAAACTGTTCGATGCTGCACGAATTCGCGTCCCTGTGCGAGATCCTCGACGCGACGCACAACAGACACGGTCCACTATCACTACCGTCTTCCTCGGATATCGAAAGGTGATCGCGAAGCTGCGTGCTCGATATATGCATCAATTCGTAGCTGCTCACCCGCTGCTGCTTCTCCTCGATCGTTTCGTCCAGATCGTCGGGCGGCTTCACCAGCAGCCGTATATCGATCGATTTCGATTTGTTGACTTGCTGCTCCGTACCCCACTCAATTGTCATGGGGAGCAGGTTCGAATGGAACTTCGCGTGGTCACCGTGATGGATGAAATTGTAAATGCTCTTGCCCAATACATCTTCTTTCGTGAATTTTATGTAAGTCGAAACGTTGTCCGTTACATGTTCCACCTGTGGAACGAATCCGGTTTGAGCGATTCTTGAACAATTTGATAATAAAATAATTACAAACCTTTCCCTCGTTGTTGACAACGAACAGGAACCCCTCCAACGCTTCCAGGAGCAGAGGCCCGTAGACGTCGTTGGAGAGTATCGTCGGCCTGGAGGACGAGACTTCCCCTTGTTGGACGGGGTCGGTCGATTGGGTGGCGTTTTCCTGCTGTTTGATACTCCTGATTTGGTTAACTGCTTCCTGAAGAATGGCGCACTTATCGGGTTTTACCGACAACGAGCTCATGTCCGCGAAATTGGCGGATATCAGCTCGGCCAGTTCTTCTATGTAGATATTCTCCTGTTCACGGCGACGTTTCTCATTGTTGCATTTGTTGCTGGAATTGAAAACGGTCGGTATACGTTACGGCTCAAATTCGCCTTCGCTTTCATTTAATAACCATCGGAAAAGAAAAAATAACAGTTCGAAATACTAACATATTTTGGTGCAGAGTCATGATAAGAATCCGAGAATTCGAATGATCGCGCGCAATACAAAACACTCGGAATATGTGGAAAATGTAATAAATATCACATGGTTAACGGATCGAATGGTGTTTAATCTTCTTCCACGTCGAATGCGAAAACCACTGAAGGTTTTCGTTTTATTGCAATATGTGACAGTTGAAAAGTCACCAGTATCGTAAAAATGCAGAATCGGCACGTTTACGTGTGTGTGTTGCGTGTATTTTTTTTCTTTCTAGTCGCGACGAATGTAAACTATCGTGTTACTAGGCTCGAATTGTGTCGCAATTCGCACTCTTCAATTCGTAAATTCGTCCATAATGATATTAAGGCGTAATGAAAAACATATCTATAGTCCATTCACTGAACTTACCCGGATTTCGGATTAACAATTTACAGTGAAATTGTAACGCCGGTACCTCCAAATATTACCTGTTTCTTGGATAAATATGAACTAGACAAATTAGTTACTAGTGCAATTGACCCGAATTCTTAAAGAAACTGACCATTTACGATCATTTGCAATAAATAATCGAATTCGAAACCCGCGTAAGTTCAGCGAACGGACTATAAAATACAACGTTTTTCGTCGAAACTTTGTTATAGATGAAGGTGAAAATAGTGTTTTTCCATTGGACAACCAATGATCCTTAATTGTTTGATGTGGCTTGTGTAATGGCCTTGTTAAAACAATCAATAATATCGACGAAAAAATAAATATTCTTTTGGAAGAGCGTACGTTTGCATTTGGCGATGCGATAATGGAGTTTATATTCTGGTAGGCGTGCTAGTAGATCAACGAAATATTCCAATCAGATATTCCAGTACGTTCTGAATAGAATAGTAAAATATCCAATTAATACGCCGTGTATAAATAAAATCGGCGTTTAGAAACTAAATTATATAGCTATTGCACGTTCAACGGATACTCCCAGTATGTAAAATATGTAGTAAAATTATCGTTTTTCTGTATAAAAAATATCCGTGCAGTAGGATTACAGCGAGAGCGCAACGTAGCGACGATGAATTCAGAGAATATAGAGAGGATCTCCTGCGTTTCCCGAGCGAGTACTTTAACTGCAAACAATATCAACGATATATCTAAAACTTCTAGGAGGCATTGTATTCGTCTTCGCTGAATACGTCCGCATACGACATATTTCAAGTCGGAATCTCCTTAGTGTTTGCACATTCTTTTTTTCATTTTTATGCAGCGCGCATCAAACGGTCGGATTATTTTGTAGACTAGAGCTGGAAAGTTTATCGCCGAAGGAGATTATTTTTATATAAGCGAGGCAATTTCTCGAAAAGAATAAAAACTCTGACGAGAAAGAAAAAAAAACGATGACGTTTTTTTAATTTATACACAACGATTTTTTTTTATCAACGAGGACGTTTCATTATTTGCATACAGATAAGGATTGTGCAGATGCTTACATTTGAGCTTGAGGTTTTGTCTCCGATTTTTTCCTTTTCTTATTGACGCCGGCCGTCAAGGAGTTCATCTTACCCCAAACCGGGTCCTGCAGGTCGCATGGGCCAAGCCTGAAATCAAACGATTTAAATTACAATTATGAAAAAAAAAATAAAAAAAAAAACTCGTATCGATAATCTACTAAATCGCTTTAACCACGCGACGAAAACGGCCGAGAAAATCACGTCGAAATTATTTAATACAACGAGCAAATGTTTAAACTTATCGAGCGACCTACTAACCCGAATCTTTTAATGCAGAAGAGTGGAACATTTCATTTCATTATTTATTATGAAAATTGTTGCGTAACGTAACATTCAGTTATTCAAAGAGAATACGTCATTGTTGAGAGTACTTTTTTTTTTTCGTTGCACTCTTTTTATCGCTTTTACTGGTTCTTCATTAATACATTTAGTAAGGTAAAATTGAAATAGTCCTCCGAGTAGTAGATTATTTTATAAATTTAGGATTAAAATAATCGTTATTAGTTCAATGAATATGTTAGTAGAGGTCCCATTTACACTAAAAAAAGCTATAATGCTATCAAATTTGAATGTTTATCGAAATGGGAATTTTATCGGTAAAAAATTCAGATATGTGGGAGTTTGAAAAACTTGAACACCCTGTGTAGAATTGGAAAGCATCGTCGCCGTCGGTACCGGGAGCCAATCAATACTCGGCCGGGCCGACGAGAGCGAGTCGCGAGACGGCTTCAAGAAGGCGTCTCGACGTCGAGGGACGGAGCGTTGTCACGCAACAGGCAGTCGACGCAGGCGCTTTGGACGCGCCGGCATCGACGTCGCGACGTTTCGAAAAGGCGACGTTGCCATGCAACCCGACGAAATTTCGGAAATTTTTTTTACCGACTTTATCACCGGTTTACGATCTCGAATAACAAACAAACAGTTTATAAAATAAAATGGATCGAATTTAAAATTCGCAACGATATTTCGTGTTATTGTTCGATTCCTAAACAATCTCGAAATAAAACAGATCCTCGTCTGGTTCGGACGGGAGCGTTTTTAGCCTTCGAAATTAGCGAGAACGGGCGGCTATAGAGGAAATTACCAATTAGCAGACGGACGGGAATTTGGCAACGTCGAGTCCTTGGTTTATTGCACGCCTACGCCAAGAAGCGAGTTTCCACAGTATTTGAGGCAGGTCGGGGAACACCGAGCGCTACAATAAATACGGGACACGACCAGCTGTAAGCGAGGGGGATATTCCTCTTGTTGTTTTTTTTTCGACTTTCGCTTTGCGGATTCTCTATTGCCAAGTTCTGCGCCCCCCCTTCGACCGAAGCTAGACACGTAAATTACGCGAGTCAGGGTCGGGTTCACAATAATTAAAATCTCAACTTAAAAAAAAAAGTACTGGCTTAATTTAAAGTAGGTACGCTTCTAAAGAAAAGAGGTCTCTCCGAAGGAAGTTAAGTTATAAAAATTATGCGCTCACAACTGTGTAACCTTTCGAAACTCGGCTTGAACGATAAATTATTTTTTATTCGCCGCATTTATTTCGCGTTTGATTGACATGCAAAAGTGCAAACGGTTGTTTTACGATCTCTGAAATTGAATTGGAAATATTTGTACGCGCGAACAAGAGAAATTGTTTATTTTTGTGATTTATTTCGCAAACTATACGCAGAGACGCATTCCGATTTTTTAGGCGCAAATTTAATACGCCATAAATTCGAAGTGACTCCGCCAAAATTTGAAAAATTTATGCAACAATTATATGAAAAAATTTATTTAGTATAGACTGAATTTTGATATTTAACAAACCCACAAAAAATTCTAATACTCTATTATAAGAATAAGTAATGAGTCTCTGGCTAAAAGAGATATCGTAAAAACAATTGCGGCCGGCCCTGGCATCAGGTATTGCAAAGGTATACACGCGAATCACTACACATCAATTATGAACGAAACACGTATTCTTCGAAAATTAAATTTAGAATCCCCTTCTCGGCTCCAATTACAAAGGAACCCCGGCGTAAAGTGAATAATGCGTTATTGTGACGACGCATAAAAGGTACGAAAAAAGCTGTACTTTGAATTCGAACCAAACAAAAAAAACATGCGCACAAAGCGTCGCAATCAAGCACAAATAAACACATTTTTCACAAAAAAATAAAAAATAAATTTACACTCGAATAAAAACTCGTGTCGGCAATAAAAATTGGAAACGGGAATAACTTAAAAATAAAAATTATTCAAATTATTTAAATTACATTGATAAAACGTTAAAAGTAAAGTTATTTGAGAACGTTAAACTTGTCCACGAACGTTGTTCGATTTTTCATTCAAGTAAACGAACTTACGTGTTACCTATAAATAATTTGCAATAAAACAAGTACTACACAAAAGCGAAATCGGAATTGAAACTAATTATTATCCGCTATAGATAATTACGACAATCACAAATTACGCCAAGGAATTAGCATTTTTACAGATGGGCAGCTTCCTTCTCGGCACATTAACTTCGCACAGTCAACGAAAGCAAAAATAGTTTCCAACAAAATCGAATTTCGTACTCTGCCTACTAGGAGACCGGCAATTAGGAGTCATTTTTTGGCATGTTCGAACTGTTTAACAGGAGAAAGTTAATTCGGAAACTGTTTTTTTTAACGTTTTGTAATAGCACGTCACATTCACGAATACTAAACGTGTCTTCGTAATTAGACTTTCGCTCTTTTTTTTCGCCTATACATTTAAATTTCCCCAAACGTTCAAACAAAACAAAGATTTTTACCAGTCAGCAAATCTGTCTACAATTATCATCAAATTATCCACTTTTAACTGCAAAAGATTGAGACATTTCAGAGAGGCTATAAAAATCTAATTAATAAACATTTTTTTAACAGATTGAAATTTGCATAAACATTTTACATGCATTAATTTTAAACGAAGCAATTAGAAGCAATTTCGATTTAAAACTACTAATACAAGGTACATTATTTTTAAATAACTTTCGATTTTTGCTGTATAGCAACGTTGCCGACTCGTTTTCGATACATCACTGAACTTTCTTATCAACGCCTGTGTGTGTGTACTTGACTTAAATGATAACAATGATGGTTTCTTTAATATGTACATTCACAAGAGCAGATTCTAGCTTGTTAATGTATAGTTCTATTTTTTATATTTAACGGTGCAATTTTTATAGTACGTGTGAAATTGTCTGCGAACGGAATTCTTAAAACGTGTTCGTTCTCATTTATTATTATTTAGAAATTTCATTTTATTGGGTTTTCATAACTGGAGTAGCATGTGCAAAGGAGCCCGTTACATAGTAAATCATTTGTTGATGTGATAACAGAATAAATAGAGCCGTAAAATGAATTTATAACAATTTAACGCTATAATTATTACATCGGATATACGGGCAAAACTTGATGAATAAATTGAATAGAAAATAAAATTTTTGTAATAATCAAATGTATTTTATCATTTTGAAGTGTGCTGTGTACTTATTTGCGCAATAAGTGAAAATGTAAATCAAAAAAAGGAAAATAAATAAAGATATAATGGGATGATTTCACAAGAAATGCCGTTTTATCAACATCGAATTAATAAACATTAAGAGTGAAGGGGATTTATGGAACTCGATTGTTATTAATTATTCAAAAGTTTACCTTGAATAAAACATACAATTCTCAAAATCTATTTACCAGCGATTCGATTATTCAAAAAATTACTAAAACACCAGCACGAGTTAAAAATTATTCGATACTGGGTATAAACAGCCTCGCTGTATTAAAACATTTTTATCTTACGTTTCTACTTAATATCTATAAATAAGCAAATGAGATATGAGGATTGATAAAACGTTTTATTAAAAAATAACAAATACAGAGGATAATTATTAGGAATTCAACAATTGAATTGTTTTTTGTTCGAAATTATAAGGCGAACATGAATTTTGCTTCAAGTAAAACTATTATTGTAGCGCGTTTTACGAGATTCTGTGGATTAAAGCAAAATAAACGATGTAAATCCCATAAGGATTGTTGTAAGCAATGTTAAATAAATAAATAAAAGTTTGAAAATAAACATTTCTTACATAATTTTCAATTAAACGGTTTAAAAACAGGGTGAATCAAGTACTTTTATTAGCACCAGTAAGTAAAATTAATCTTTTTTATGGGATAACCCTGATTGATGGATTTCAAATAAGTTTTCATACATTAAAAAAATTGTAGTTAAAATCCTGCAACTCATCTTATATAAGCTATCGTCAGTTGCAGCTCCGTTACGCTACATAATCCTGCAAATATCTAAAGATAGACTTAATTAACGTTCCGACTCTTTTCATCTATGAGCACAATTAAATTTGTATAAACGCTGGTTATTACACGTGCAGACAACCCCATCATTTTCCCCACTTTGGTCACAAGCCGTACTCAATTTAGCTATTTACCCATTGTAACAACCGGCAATTTTCTTTTTCGAATTAGAATAACACAATTTTACATTAGCACGGACTTTTGAAGTTGATAAATACTATTTTGAATGCTTAACAACAAGCGGGTAAATTTTCAAATCGATAAAAAATCGATCACACGTCTGACGTTAGTAATGTTATAACGGAAGTTTTAAAAACCCAATGTGGATGATGATTCTGGAAAATTTAATTTGAATATTGCTCAATTTTAAGAACCGCTTACGTACATTTTAAAGTGCATTAAATTTTTTTAACGATATTTTTACGACACCTGCAATTATCAGGTCCACTGTAAAATATTAATAAGTAATAATTTTACACGTGTAAAAATTTTAATGTGTATTAATAGATTTGCCAATAAAAAAATAATATTGTGAATTTTACGTTTCGCTTACATATTATCGAACATTTTTTTACTTATAAACCAAATTACCTATATTGGCATTAAGTTATATACTTTTTAAAATAACAGGGTGGTTAAAATAAGTACTTAAAGTGTCTCCAATAATCAGAGCTACGTAAGAAATATAGCAAAAAAAGTCAATTACCAACGTGCCGTTAGTAATTAATAAACGCAATTAAATTGCAACATCATGTGTAAATCATTATTTTTGAAATGCTTTCC